TCTACAACCAACCTCATTTATCACCCCTCACCACCGCTCCTCACGAACACTTATCCCCCTGAACTCCCGCTCCGGTCGTATGTGCCATATCTACAGCTATGTGTGGTAAACTGTGACTTTTTGATCTATGCAATCGGATCAATTCTCTTTTGGACTTTCAACCTCAGTTGTTCTTTGTATAAACTACCTCACTGGATTATTGTGAAGTTTTGGGTTTTTACTGAATGGCCATTCATGCATTCATTAATATTTTGTCCTTTGTTTGTTTAATACATGGTACCAGCAAAACAGTTCAGTCTCTGCCTCCTTCTCCCTGGCCGCACCTGTTCTGGTCACTAGCCATATATACACTGTGTATATTAATAGTAATTTCTTTTACTACATAGTCACCGCTACACTGTAAACCCGAATTAGTAATCATTACTTAAACCCGGGTAACCCGTGCCACGAGATGTGATTTTTGCAGAAACAAAAAACTAAACAAATCAAGTTTTCACAACACAATTTGAGTGCAAGAAAACAAATACTAACAAACTAAGATTGTAACTACTAGTATTTCAAGTAATTAACTTACAAAAACTAATGTTTAATTAGTAACTAATAATTATCTTTTTAAGCAATATAATTCTAAACACATTCTGGTGCCTTGTTTTATTACAATTTAATACTAGTTAATTATGGTGTTTATTACTGATCTTTAAGAAAACCAAGCACAATAAGTTTTTGTTTATGCAAAAAAAGCATTCAACTCTGATAAGTTATACATTGTACAATACAACAGTCTTAAACATTGCTGTAACTTTACCTTTTAATTAAAAGTGCCATTTTAAAACACTGTTCTAAAAGTTTTTTCTCATGTAAAAATCAAGGCAATGGCAGCAAATCAAATAAATTTACAAACTAAGTCAACTTTTAGTTGCGTTTTAGCCACCAACATACAACAAAAATAAAATACATATGTGGATTTTACAAACAGTTTGAAACCTTTACCTTTGTATTGCACAACACAGTATATAGCAGCATAAGTTTTTTTTTTTTTTTAAACCATTTACCAGCAAAACTACAATTAGGTAAAAAAAAAGTTCTGATCAAAATATAACCGGATAATTTAGTTCAAGTAACTCCAAAACGTTTTGCATCAAAATACAAGTTTTACAGCATGAAGTTGAGCGCTTGCAATTTGTATTTCCACGCCATGCTGCCACGTTCAATGCTAACGATGATATTCGGGGCTGTAGTCGGTTTCGCAGCAAATGCATTTTATAACTTCAGCTGTGACTCTTTGGGCGAATTAGACATCAAAAGACACATAAGACATAATGTTAGCAGTGAAACATCTGTGTACTTACCAAGTCAGACACTCATTCAAAAGGACCGTGATTCTGCCGTCTCTCGGCTGTTCAGCTCACAAGCCCTCCCACCGCGTAAAAACCTAAACACCTGAGCTCACCACTTAGAATGAATAGTGCAGGCAGATACCTGATTATATGAGCATACTACTTGTTTACTTTAGTAATGGTCCCTTTTTGTAAAAATATGAAATTATAGCAATGATAGCTTGATTTGTTATGCTGAAAAAATAGTGGGGTTTACAGTGTACTACTATTCTACGCCGCATATTGGCTACAGATGCTCTCTCACTCTCTCTCAAGTCCAAAATTAGTCCTGGCTTAGACCTGGTTTAGTCCTGGTTTAGACCTGGTTTAGACCTGGTTTAGTCCTGGTTTAGACCTGGTTTTGACCTGGTTTAGTCCTGGTACAGATGCAGTTTGCTGCTTTGTCTGGTTTTCTCTCTGACTTCAGTCTCGGGTCTGGACTCGGTGTCGTTGTTGTTCGTTGTTAAAGTTCCTGTTGACACCAAGTCACAATCTGATTGGTTGAAGCAACAGTTTGATGGATGTTTGTTTAGTGTTGGAGTTCCTGCAGAACGGACTGTGAAGGCCTCAGACTTCTGTGACTTTGACTCTGCCTGGCAACAAGTGACGGCTGAAATGTGATTGGTCAAATACTTTAATATGAAAATCCATGTGAAGCAGCACAAACATCAGAAAAACAACAAAAGGAAGAAGACAGAACATTTGGAATTTTTAAAATAAAAAATAATTAACATCAGTCTGTGATTCAGATATTATTTAGACCAGCAGAGAAGACCTTGCAGGCCCTGATGCCCTGCCACTGCTTATATATGGGCAAAAGGCTCACCTTAAAATGTGAGGTGAAATGCGTCGTTTTTGGGAGTTTCAGTACTTTGTTTGAGAAGTTTGCCGACAGACCAAGCCACAGCCGCAGTGAAGGGGGAATTAAACTGCATGAATTTAAAGGAACTGGAAAGTTCAGGACAGCAGAACAGGAAGTGGACCTGCCAAAATAAAAGTCTCTGTATTAGACGTGGGTTACACAGTGACAGTAACTAAGTAGAAGTGAGTAAGTTGGAGCCAACACTGTGTGCTGTAGAACGTCAGTCCATTTGCACTGTTCAACACTTTGATCACTTTCTGTAACCATGGACACGATTCAAACTAATAACACAGAAAACAAGAAATCAGAGGCAAGAAGTTAAATATAAAGCAAAGAAAAGAGTGAAACAAAGTGAGGAAATAGTCCACACACAGATGTGTGTTTGTCTTGTGCAGTGTGAGGCGTTGGTCTGGTGATGCGCTGCTCCAGTCCAAAGGTTTGGCTCTTATTCCTTTTCAGTTTACGTTTATATACGATGACGGTCTGAGCAGAACATGCAAAAGTGGCCTCACTTCTTCATGTTTTATTCCATGTTTAGATGAGCGTTTTTGGGAGGAAATCAGGATGAATACGGTGACGTGAAAGTGTGTGGAATTTGATTGTGTATGATGGTAGGCGGCTCGGTGGTGACGCTCGGTGGTGATGTATGTGACATAAACACGTACGTGACCTGAGCACATCTGACCAGAGTTTTGCGTCTTGGGCAGTGTAGACGGAAACTCTATGGTGGAACCTATGAAGAACCCACCTCTGGAAGGTGGTGTCAGATTTTTGTGTTTTTAAGCCCCAAAACACCGTCACCATTTAAAGGAAAGACACTTCCCATAAAATATTGTAATTTGTACCCACAATCGTTCTCGTGTAAACAGGCCCTCAGTGAAACAAACACAACCAAGCACTGACCCAAAGGAGAACAAAAATGTGGATTAAATTTATTCCACAAATACCTGAACTAGTGGGACTCGTAAAACAATTTAAGAACCACTGCTCTTAACTTAGTGATGAACGGGCTGATGTTTTACATGTTGTTCTTTGTAAAGTCTTATTTTACATGTTGTTCTTTGTAAACCACAGTGTTGAACTCTTCGGTGTTAAAGTTGCTCTATTAACTCATCAGAGTTTTGCCTTTGGGCTTCAGTCTGATTCAAAAAGAGGAGAGTTTGATTCTCCTGAAAGTCCAGACTTTATTTCACAAACAAACTCTGATCCAGAACAAACGAGTCCGTTTCCAAACAGTTTTGACAAAATAATGTAACTGTGTGTTCAGGAGATAAACATTTATGACATGTTTAAACATCAGTGTTGTTTGAAATGAATGTTTTGTGTGTTTTTTCTTTTGAAGCAAATGAACAGAGCATGGATTGGAGAAAGTACAGAAACAAAGGATCCTCTTCCTCTAGGACCACTCACCCCCCCAAATCTCAGAGGTAAGAGACCATCTCTAACTCTGTTCTCCATGTCAGAGCTCAGACTAAAGCCACTGCTCCATCTGTGTCCATAACGTCACGACTTTATGTGAACAAATATTTTGATAAAATGTGGGTGATGTGGTTTTAATGAAATAAAAACATGTCCAGGAGTGGTCCACAGTTCAGAGAATCACATTCAAATCAGAATGATACACAAAAGTCTGTGTCACGACTCAACAAGGTGAGGACCCAAAAGCAGACGAAAACCAGGGAAGGTTTAAGATTTATTTAGAGGAACTGAGGAATACTGCAGGGACTGGAGACGGGTCTGGGAACATCAGGTAAGTGGAGAAGGCAGGGTTGAAATGGCTGAAGCTGGGGGTGGAACAGGAGCAGGAGTAAGCAGCTGATGGAGGAGCACGTAGGATAACTGACGATCTGGAAGAGATGGTGTGAAGAACTCAGGCTTTTATACTGGTGATGATGAGTGATGAGAGACAGATGTGCAGGCCCAGGAGCAGGAGGAGGAGCCATGGCCATGACAGTCTGTTCTTTGTTCCATAACAAAAACTTTAAAAATATGTAAACTGGATCAGTTCCTTGTTGAACCTGTCGTGTTGAAGACCTAAGTGTTTGATGTGTCTCTGTGACAGAGAGGAGCAGCCGGGTCCAGAGGTCTCCAGTGGTCAGCACCATCACACACAGCTGGACTCCATATTTAAGGTTTGTCATTCACTAAAGTTTGGAAATGTTCAGATGAATGAAGCTTGTTTCACACAGATCTGACACTGACTGCATTTGTGTTGTTTATAATGTGTCTGTTCAGCTTCTGGAGGAGGACATCTTCACTTTTGTCCAGAAGGAGCTGAAGAAGCTCCACAAGGTTCTGAGTACAGATGATCCAGAAGGTTTAGATCCTGTGGAGGATGAGGATGAAGAGCAGAGGAGCTGCAGTGAGGCTGTTCTGAAGATCACACTGAACTTCCTGAGGAGGATGAAGCAGAAGGAGCTGGCTGAGCGTCTGAGGAGCAGTAGGACCATTTAACACATTTAACAAGGTGCTCACAGTCATTTGATCTTCTCTGAGACTCAGGTCTGTATCTGTTGTTTTCATTCAGGGAACTTATTCTAGAGTTTATCAGCGTAAACTGAAGTCTGACCTGCAGCAGAAGTTTGAGTGTGTGTTTGAGGGCATCGCTAAAGCAGGAAACTCCAGCCTTCTGAATGAGATCTACACAGAGCTCTACATCACAGAGGGAGGTCTTCAGAGGTCAACCAGGAACATGAGGTCAGACACATGGAAACAGCCTCCAGACACCAGGCCCAGCAGAAACACCCATCACATGTGAAGACATGTTTAAAGGCCCAGCTCACACACATGGAGCCATCAGAACAGTGCTGACAAAGGGAGTGGCTGGCATCGGGAAAACAGTGCTCACTCAGAAGTTCAGTCTGGACTGGGCTCAAGGCAAAGCCAACCAGGACATACAGCTGCTGTTCCCGTTCACTTTCAGAGCACTCAATGTGCTGAAGGAGAGCTTCAGCTTGGTGACACTTGTTGGTCACTTCTTTAGTCAAACACGAGCAGAAACTCTGCAGCTTTGAAGACCTCCAGGTGCTCTTCATCTTTGACGGTCTGGACGAGTGCAGACCTCCTCTGGACTTCACCAAAACCGAGGTCCCTGACCGACCCCACAGAGTCCGCCTCAGTGCACGTGCTGCTGGTGAACTCATCAGGGGGAGCCTGCTTCCCTCCGCTCGCCTCTGGATAACCACACGACCTGCGGCGGCCAATCAGATCCGTGCTGAGTACGTCTCCATGGTGACAGAGGTCAGAGGGTTCACCAACCCACAGAAAGGAGCAGTACTTCAGGAAGAGGTTCAGAGACGAGGCCGACACAATCATCTCCCACATCAAGACGTCCAGAAGCCTCCACATCATGTGCCAACCTGCCGATCTTCTGCTTGGATCGCTGCCGCCAGTCCTGGAGCAATCTGTTGAAAAGCAGAGAGAGAGAAGAAGCTGCCCAAGAGCCTGACTCAGATGTACATCCACTTCCTGGTGGTTCAGGCCAAAGTCAAGAACATCAAGTATGAAGGAGGATCTGAGACAGACCTACACTGGAGTCAAGAGACCAGGAAGATGGTGAAGTCTCTGGGAAAACTGGCCTTTGAGCAGCTGCAGAAAGGAAACCTGATCTTCAACGAGAGTGACCTGAGCGAGTGTGGGCTGGACGCTGCAGTGGCCTCAGTGTAACTCCGGAGTGTTCACACAGGTCTTCAGAGAGGAGTCCAGGCCTGTACCAGGACAAGGTCTACTGCTTCATCCATCTGAGTGTGCAGGAGTTTTCTGGCTGCTCTTCACGTCCATCAGACCTTCATCAACACTGGGATCAACCTGCTGAACCCACCACAGTCCTCTGAGTGTCCTGACACTGAAGCCTTCTACTGCTCTGCTGTGGACCAGGCCTTACAGAGTCCAAACGGACACCTGGACCTGCTCCTCCGCTTCCTCCTGGGTCTTTCACTGTCGACCAATCAGAGCCTTCTACAAGGTCTGCTGACACAGACAGGAAGTAGCTCCCAGACCAATCAGAAAACAGCTGAGTACATCAAGGAGAAGCTGAGTAAGGTGTCTGCAGAGAGGAGCATCAACCTGCTCCACTGTCTGAATGAACTGAATGATCGTTCTCTGGTGGAGCAGATCCAACTTTACCTGAGCTTAGGACGTCTGTCTGAAGGTCGACTGTCTCCTGCTCAGTGGTCAGCTCTGGCCTTCATCTTACTGTCATCAGAAGAAGATCTGGACCAGTTTGAGCTGAATAAATACTGTGCTTCAGAGGAGGGTCTACAGGGGCTGCTGCCAGTGGTCAAGGCCTCCACCAAAGCTCTGTGAGTCTCCTTTGTTTAACAGAGGATGGTTTGATTCAACTTCCACATAAACAATGTTTTCTGTCTCCAGACTGAGCGGCTGTAACCTGTCAAAGAGAAGCTGTGAAGCTCTGTCCTCAGTCCTCAGCTCCCAGTCCTCTAGTCTGAGAGTCCTGGACCTCAGTCTCAACCACTTGAAGGACTCAGGGCTGAAGATGTTGTGTGTTGGACTGAAGAGTCGTCACTGTAAACTGGAACAGCTCAGGTCAGAATTATACATTATAAAGGTCTTTTCTTTTTGTCTGTGTCTAAATTCACCTTGAGGAGTTTGTGCTGGTGGAGTAAAAGCTTTTTGAGTGATTCACAGACAGACCCAGGCTCACCTGTGCAGACTCACCATAGACTGTATTACGAAGTGAACTAAGGGAGTGTGACGTCACCCAGAGCGTTCAGCTACAGTCACATGAAGCTCACTGAGGCTAGCAGTTATAAGAGAGAATTTAAAGCTGAGTTTAATATTCCAACTGCTGTCAATCAAACCTGTTGCTAACATGAGTGGGAGGGACCTCAGGGAAAGAAGGCGCCTGATTGGTCTGTTATTAATGTTCATGTCTCAATTTGGGCTAAAAAAGTGAAATAAAAAGTGAGGCTAGGATCATGTAGAGCGAGTTCATACGAACATTTTAAGACCAAAATGACTTTCAATAGAAAAGTTGGAGCCAGAGATGATGGAGCCAGAATGTGATCATCATTTCCTCTTTGGAATTCAGCATTTGATAAACAGTTTATGAGACAGACTCGGGTTTAGCTGCACAGACAGACACAGGAGGAGACATGTCGCTGATTTTAAGGTGATCTAGATTTTCTTGTCAGACGAATGTGTCAAACAGCAGCTCTGCAGCCCGTTCATACAAATATACATCTTCTCTTGTTTCAGTGATGCTTGTTTTGAGTTTTTGGATGCACTGGCTCCATTAAGGCTAAAGTGCACGAAGCCCATGGCACAGCTTTGGTTAAATGAGAAAACACGTGAGGCTCGACGCTCATGTAGACGCACTGAGAGGAAATGGAATAAAGAGCATCTACAGGTCTCCCTGCAAATGTCAAGAGACAGTTTGGTCAAATATCAGAACAGTTAAAGCTGCTAAATGTAGTTTTATATCAAACATGGTGTCAACAAACTGTCACAAACCTCAGATGCTTTTTAGTACTTTGA